AACCGTGCCCATATCCCCAGGGGTTCGAGGCGGTTGTTTGATTTGTTTTGAGGCGGTTGTTTGATTTGTTTCCGTTGCTCGGAGCAAAAGCCAAAATGCGTGTGGCCACACGCGCACGATGCAACGGGAACGTCCTTGGGGACGCAGGGACATGGAGGGATCCTGGGGGTAGAGAGGGGCACGCACAGCCCCGGAGCTGTGGGGTCACACATGGGGGTACAGGGAGCCGCAAATGCTCCCGCAGCGATGCCTGGCCCCAGCAGACCCCCGTGCTGCTGGAGCTGGGCTGTCACGGGGTGGCGGGGGGGCAGCCCCAGCTTGTTGGGGATCGGCTGGAGCTGCAGCAAATCCGGGAGGCTGTGGGCAGTCGGGGTCCAGGGCACAGTGCTGGTTCAGCTGCAGCCGGTTTGTGAATTAAAATCGCCCAAACTTGCCCAAATCCCCAGGGGTTCGAGGCGGTTGTTTGATTTGTTTTGAGGCGGTTGTTTGATTTGTTTCCGTTGCTCGGAGCAAAAGCCAAAATGCGTGTGGCCACACGCGCACGATGCAACGGGAACGTCCTTGGGGACGCAGGGACATGGAGGGATCCTGGGGGTAGAGAGGGGCACGCACAGCCCCGGAGCTGTGGGGTCACACGTGGGGGTACAGGGAGCCGCAAATGCTCCCGCAGCGATGCCTGGCCCCAGCAGACCCCCGTGCTGCTGGAGCTGGGCTGTCACGGGGTGGCGGGGGGGGATCCGAGGGAGGGGTGCACATCCATGCCGGCATGGCGGGAGGCTGTGGCATGGAGCATCCCATCTTGGTGCTGGACCCTGGCGCTTGCGGGAGCTGATCCTGCAAAGCCACCCCAGCCCCCCAGGGTGGAGGGTGACACCCAGGGGCTGCAGCGTCTCCCCGTGTCACCCCCGTTGTCTCTTGCCCGGGGCGTCCCCCGCCGTCTCCGTGTTTCCTGCCGCTGCAGAGCGCATCACGCAGACGGTGGAGATCACCAAGCACGTGGTGGACATCGAGGAGAAGGGTGTCAAGCTGCGCCTGACCATTGTGGACACACCGGGCTTTGGTGACGCCGTCAACAACACCGAGTGGTGCGTCCCATGGAGAGGTGGTAGCGGGGTCTCCCTGGGGCTGGGCAGCTCTGCCATGGGTGCCACAGGCTCCGAGGGTGGGATGCCCACGGCTCCTCCGGGTGGGATCCTAAAGCCATGAGAAGTGTTGAGCTGGGGATCCAGGGAAAGCCCGGGGTCCTGCAGGGGACTCCAATGGTCACCTCCTTGTCCCTGCAGCTGGAAGCCGGTGGCCGACTACATCGACCAGCAGTTCGAGCAGTATTTCCGCGACGAAAGTGGCCTCAACCGGAAAAACATCCAGGACAACCGCGTCCACTGCTGCATCTACTTCATCTCGCCCTTTGGCCATGGGTACGGGCCCTGCCTGCGCTGCCGGGAGGGGGGGGTGCTGGGAAGGGGCTTGGTAGGAGGGCGCTCACCGGGATCCCCCCCGCAGGCTCCGGCCCCTGGACGTGGAGTTCATGAGAGCCTTGCACCAGCGGGTGAACATCGTGCCTGTGCTGGCCAAGGCTGACACCCTGACCCCCACCGAGGTGGAGCGCATGAAGAACAAGGTGAGGGGAGGTCGGCCCAGCCTGGAGCCATCCCCACAGGTCCCTGGGGATGGGGGTGCCCTGGGGGCTGGGGTCTCCGCTTGGCGGGGGGCTGTCTCCATCCCCTGCCTGGACTTAGCATGGAGGATGCTCCATGGCACGCAGCACTGTAGAGGACATGTTGCCCACATGGCCACCAAGGACACATCTCCCTGGTGCTCAGCTGGGCACTGGAAGGGTCTGGGGGGTGGTGGTGTCCATGACATCTAGTCTGGGGGGGACAGGCTTTTGTGGGTCCTTGGGGGACACCGGTGCTGTGTGGCGCTTCCCACTGCCTTTCCGAGGGCCAGAGCCCTGCCCTCAGTGGGGCTGTCTGCCTCCAGATCCGGGAGGAGATCGACCACTATGGCATCCGCATCTACCAGTTCCCTGAGTGCGACTCGGACGAGGACGAGGAGTTCAAGCTGCAGGACCAGGCGCTAAAGGTGGGTCTGGCTCCTCCAGCTCCATCCTTGGAGGGGCAGAGTGCCGTGGCCGGTTGGACATGTCATTCTGGGGTACCCTTAGGACTCTTTGGGGCAATGCAAGCTCTCCGGCAGCCCCAGCATGGTGGGGTTGGTACATATCGCACTACCTGGACGCATCACCAAGACCCCACAGGTGCCACCTGTAGCTCGATGGGATGGAGCTGGGGTGGAGAAACCCATGCCATGACTGCTGCCATCCCACCTGGGGCTCTCTGTATCTGGGGCTCTGGGATATCTTGGCAAATGGGTGCTGGATACGGCCGAGGAGACGCATGTGGAGGGATGTGGGCCACGGTGGGCAGGGCCGAGCCCTGCTAACCCCCATCATCCTCTTGTAGGAGAGCATCCCCTTCGCCGTCATCGGCAGCAACACGGTCGTGGAGGCCAAAGGCCGGCGCGTCCGCGGGCGCCTCTACCCCTGGGGCATCGTGGAAGGTAATGCTGGGCTGTGTCCCCGGCGTCCCACTGGCCTTTTGGGGACAGGCACATTGCGCACCCCATCTCTGTGCTGCTCAGCCCTAGGGGGGTTTGGGGGGACGCGGGGGGCTGGCTGTGGCCCCCTGACCTCAGGCTCCCCCGCAGTGGAGAACCCGTCCCACTGTGACTTCGTGAAGCTGCGGACGATGCTGGTGAGGACCCACATGCAGGACCTCAAGGACGTGACGCGGGAAACCCACTACGAGAACTACCGCACGCAGTGCATCCAGAGCATGACCCGCATGGTGGCAGAGCAGGACCCGCATGGTGGAGAAGGAGAGGAACCGCAAGTATGGGGCGTGGGGTGCGGGGAGGGGGGGGGGGAGAGTGGTGGGGAGCCCCAGTGTGGTGGGGGACCCTTCCTGTGCCATTGGGCTGGGGTTGGCTGGGGGGGGATGCTCCGGCAGCAAGGGGGACACTGCGTCCTCCCAAGGCTGGGTCTGTCTTAGGGGGGATGCTCCAGCAGCGAGGGGGACCCTATGTCCCCCCAGGGCTGGGGCTGGTGGGGGCAGGTATGCTCCAGCAGCAAGGGGGACCATGCGGTCCCCCCTGGGCTTGGGTGTGTCTCGGGGGATGCTTCGGCAACAAGGGAGACCCTGCATCCCTGCAGGCTCCAGGGCCGGAGCAGAAGCCAAGCAAGCAGCTGGTGCTGGGGCTCTGCTGCCGGTACCAGCCGGATTCATGGCACTCGCATCCCCTTTAGCCACCCCAAGATGCTGGGGGGAGCCCCCTACAGCAGGGTCCCTGGTGGGACCCTCCAGCCAGGGGGCTGGAGTGGTGCGGGAGCAAGCGGAGGCTCTGGGGGGCCAAAGCAGCAGTGCCAGTGCGGGGTGCTGGCGGTGGCTACAGGCGCCTCTAAGCTGGTCTCTCCATACGCGCTGCCGGAGAAGGCGGCATCCCTCCGCGCTGAGGCTGTGCTGCGCCGACTGCTCTGCCGACTGAGCCAGGATCTGGCCGGGGCCGTGCTTGGCCACCGCCGTCCTCCTACCCCTGCCCGTCCCCCTGACCCCTATATAAAGTACTTGCTGGTATCCAACCCTGTCTCGGTCCTTCTGTGCCCGTGCAAGGGCCAGGCAGCCGCTCTCAGGGAGAGCCGGCCCCGTGGCCACCCACCCGTTGCCCACACAAGTTGCCCTCGGGGTGCCGGCACCACCGGCGGTGCCAGGAGGACGCCGTGTGCTGGTGGCATCTCCCCAGCTCACGCTGGCAAAGTGGGGTTGGGAAGAGGTGTCACGGTTTGGTGGTACCCAGCTCTTCCCAGCCAAAGGCTGCCCAAGGGAAGGGCTGCAGGGCGGGCACCCCCATCATACTGCCCTCTCAGGGGGATACGATTTTTGGGGTGCAGGAGGCAGCGGTAGACAGTCTTTCCTGGGCTGGTGAAGCTGCTTGCCCCGTTGCCGGTGTCCAGCTCAAGCCTTGTCTTGCTGCCAGGGATGGAAGGAGCTTGATGTGCTCCCCCCTGGGTCCCCCCACAGTGAGGAGCCATGACAACAGGCAGCGACTTCCAAAGCGGCTCAAAACGTGGCCAAAACCCATCCCTTGCTGTGGCACGCTGGCACAGCCCCCCCGGCACAACAGGACCCTGCAGGGCAGGGGTGGCCCAGCCCGCCCATGCAATATCCGCCGTGTCCATCACCCCTCTGCATGCGGAGGGGCTGCACCGGCGGGGGCTAGCCTTGTCTTGCTGCCAGGGATGGAAGGAGCTTGATGTGCTCCCCCCTGGGTCCCCCCACAGTGAGGAGCCATGACAACAGGCAGCGACTTCCAAAGCGGCTCAAAACGTGGCCAAAACCCATCCCTTGCTGTGGCACGCTGGCACAGCCCCCCCGGCACAACAGGACCCTGCAGGGCAGGGGTGGCCCAGCCCGCCCATGCAATATCCGCCGTGTCCATCACCCCTCTGCATGCGGAGGGGCTGCACCGGCGGTGGCACGTGGCGGTGGCACGTGGCGGCATGCGTGACCCCTGCCACCCGTGGTGGTGGTGTTCCAGCTATGTCGTCACCCGCTGGGGTAGCACGTGGCATCCACAGGGACCCGGCCAGGAGAGCTGTTCCCTCCCCATTGCCATTGGCATGGGAGAAGCCATCGATTCGGCTGGCCGCGGTCCTGTGCGGTGGGGTGGCCCCAGGGGGATGCCCACAGCTCCCTCCAGCAGGAATGGGCTTGAACAGGAGCTGATGCTCTGGAAAAGGGGCATGGAGTGGAGTGCAGCGGGGTGCTCGGGGAGCCCGTCCTGCAGTGGGGCTGCAGCTGTGGGAGAGAAGGGAGATGCTGAGTTTAAGATGTTTTAAAGCAGCGAGGAGAGCCCAACCCCAGCTCGAGGCACCCAGCAGGATGCCTCCCAAAATGTGAAAACGTGGAGAAAGCCAGGCAAGGCTCTGTGCCCTGGGGGGTCCCTGGCACCCCTTGCTGTGGTGGTGCCTCCCTGGGTCCCCCCCCAGACTGGTGCATGGCAGGTTGGGGGGTGCTGAGGTTTGGGGGGATGCCTGGAGCTGCTCATATCCCCCCCTGCCTGGAAAAAGGTCCAGTGCGACGCTGGCCAGGGGGGCTCAGGGTCTGTGCGGGCGGGTGCCAGGTACCTGCAAGTTTGGGGGTCTCTGGGGCTGCTGCACCCATGGGGGAATGTCCCCCATGGGGGGCCGGCAGGGCTGTGGCAGCATCCTCACCTCCTCTCTCTGCCCGCAGCAAGCTGACACGGGAGAGCGGGACAGATTTCCCCATCCCCGTCATCCCCCCGGTGCCGGATGCGGAGACGGAGAAGCTCATCCGGGAGAAGGACGAGGAGGTGAGTGTTGGGGAGGGCTGAGCCCATCCTGATCAACAGCCCCCCCTCCCCCCGCCCTCAGCCATGTCCCCAGCCCCAGCGATGGCACAGCGGCGAGGGGTCACCCTTCCTGCAGCATCCCAGCAGCTGCTGCTCCTTAGGCCAGGGTGCGGAGGTGTTGGAGGGGTATCAGAGGGTTCCCCCCCTGCCAGCCCACAGCTCTTGGTGATCCCAGTCTGCTTGGGATGCTTGACCCAAATATGCGTGCAAGGCAGCTGGCATGGCTGGGAGGTGCCAGTGCCCCCCCATGATCCCTGCTCTACTCCCTTCCAGCTGCGGCGGATGCAGGAGATGCTCCAGAAGATCCAGAAGCAGATGAAGGACTCGCACTAGCTCCCTCCTCCTCCTCCTCACCCCCCCCCTCCGCCCCAGATCAGAAATGTTTACATCACGCTCCATCCTGCCCCGGCCCCACTGCGAGACTCAGTACCAACACCGCACCCGCCACCTTAAGCTGCTGCGGTATCGCCTTATCCAACCAGCCAGCGCCCATCCCACGGGGACAGCGAGGGGACAGGGCACCCAGCCTGGGCGTCCTCTGTCCTGGCCAGATTGC